CATATTGCATCCACTTCATAAAATGTTCACAAATGGATTGCTCTTTTGTGTGTCTGCAGGTTGTCAGGCTGTCTTATAACAGAGGAAGGCTGTATTTCACTGGCCTCAGCTTTGAGCTCCAACCCCTCCCATCTGAGAGAGCTGGACCTGAGCTACAATCATCCAGGAGACTCAGGGATGAAGCTGCTGTTGTCTGGACTGAAGGATCCAGGCTGGAGACTGGACACTCTCAGGTATGGAGACAATGTCTGATAGAGGAGGAAGAGCTGGAAACATTTCCTGTGTTCTTCACCCATTTCTGTTTGTTTCATACAGATGAGACATAAACAATCGCATATGCAGGTGTAACAAATATGTCCACTCATCAAGGAATAATCGAAACATAATCAATAACAACAGAGGACAATTTACTCAGGGTCTGATGGCAATTTAACATCAGTGTCCAATACCTTAAAAAATTGATGTACTGGAGCAAACACCCCCTTAACACCTCCAGGACTTCCTAACATACCCTCTCACACATCAGCTTGATACTGATACGTCAAAGGAAACTCAACCAACTCTTGGTGAATATGTTTACAGCCTGAACAACTTACAGTTGCCTTGGAATGCAATTTCAACAAAGAGAGGAAGAAGAGGAAAAGAAAAGAAAATATTTGCATCAATTACCCACCTCTCTTAACTTGGAGATATGTGAATATGTTGCTTAATGAGTCTTTTCTCAGCCCACGGGTTAAAAACTGCAACTTCCTCAGTCCGTAATCAAAGAGTGTTTATTTTGCAATAACCAAAATGTCTTTGTATAATCTTTGTAATTGAGAAAACAAGTGCCAGCAAAATAAATAAACTGACTGGAGCTAAATGTGGACATGAGTGCGAGTACTTCGGTCCAAATACTCAAGGTCCGGAAGAATAGGTCACAGCCACCAATCTCTCAATGACACCAGCAAGATGGCAGGACAGCGCAGCCTCTCCTTCAACAGGAAGAAAAAAAAGGAAGAAAAAAACAGTCTCCTCCACCCCTAGCAGGAAAATGAACAATCAGTCTTTTAAGGCTACTGTGGTTGTAGATATTTACCACTAGCTCACGCAGCTTGCTCTCTGACACAGATACATCCCATGTGAGCTCAGTTCAGTGTGCTAGTTCAAATACACAACATCAATGAGAACTTATGGCACACTAAACACACATCACTCACTGCGCTACATCCCTTTTTAAAGCACATTTTCATCCTCATAACTTACATCTTAAAATATCTTAATATATCCAGACCAGTTGTTACGACCAGGCTCAAAGGCCGCAACTAAGGAGACAAACACAAACTAGGCCACTCTGAGGGGAGTCAGTTAAAAAAAATGGGTTATTACAAACTTTATACAGAAAACTGACAGGGCTGTGTTCAACACGCCACTGGAAATTCCCAAGGCAGCCAATAGCCTATGTGGGTTGACACAGTGCAATCTGCATGCACAGGGGCTGGCACGAGTCTCCCGCTAGCCAATCATTAGAGAGTCCTGGCACTTTTGGACTTGCTTGAAGGAAAAAGGGTGGACTCACTCCCTGTGAGGCCCAGGGCCGTAACACCAGTTAACCTATCTATTGCCCCTAGAGAGTTGTTCCACAGTAACTTTTGCACTAAGAAAACTTCAAATAAAGCCTACAGTAAAAGTGAGAGTGATTATTGTTAGTCAAAATGTGCGTTGGGCTATTAGCATGCTGTTAGCTAAGTCTGAGACTTCAGGATAATGATGTGTCACAGAGACAGGGAGGAGATTCAAGTAAATCAGATGATACATTTTTAAATGGTTGTAATGTCTTTGAACATCTAACAAAACCAGGACCAACCTGAAGCTCTTGCAGAACAATTCTTTATTGCAAGTCACAAAAACAACAACTTCTTCTGGTCTTCTGGTCCACTATACACAGTACAGGTAGAGCACCACTTTCCCCTCCTGAGTGCCCAGACTGTTTGCCAGAATCTCTTCAAGGCAGTCAAAAAGTCTTTTTCCATGGCCTCTCCGAACTCCTCCCACACTCAAGTTTTTGCTTCAGCCACTGCCCAAACTGCATTCCGCTTGGCCTGTTGTTACCTATCAGCTGCCTCCGAAGTCCCACAGGCTAACCAACCTGAAAGGAATCCTTCTTCAGCCTGGTGGCTCCCTTCACCTCTGGTGTCCACCATTTGGTTCGGGGGTTACCACCACGGCAGGCACCAATCAACTTGCAGCCGCAGTTCATTGCAGCACCTTCATCAATAGAGGTTCTCAACATGGTTGATTCAGACTAAATGTCCCCAGTCTCCCTCGGAATGCTGTTGAAGCTCGATTAGGCACACCAGGTCTGTCCAGCATCCTCCCCCATCACCTGATTTAACTTAATACCACGTGGTGATCAGTTGACAGCTCAGCCCCTCTCTTTACCAGATTTTTCAGAACAATGGCTGGTGATACGATTGCAAAATTGATCATC